CAAGTCCACATTGCGGGTGCGTAGTTGCGATACCAATTCAGCAACGAATACTGTAGTGCCTATGTTGTCAAAGGGAAGGACGAAGGTTTCTCGTCCGTATGCAACACGGCGGAGCCAGGTGTTGTGTAAGCCCTGGTACAAGAACTTCCAGAGTGGGACTTGTAAAGGATCCATACCTTCAATGTCTTTGTAGCTCGAAAAACGGCTTTGTCGGATTCTGGAGGGAAAGTCCAAGCCATTGATCTTGTTGGAGTCGTGGAAGTCGACATCAGGTTTCCATTGGTCAACCGGAGGGATCTCGATCGGCCGACAGGTATATCCTTCATTGACAGCAGAGCATGCTCCCGGAGATGACATAGGTCGCGGCGATCTCGGTGTGAAAGGATGTCGTTGAGGTGCAAAATTGGCGTTGTTGGGAGGTGGCTGGGAAAACGTAGGCGGTGTAGGTGGGAAAGGTGCCGTAGATGGAGTCCATGGTGGGCGTGTTGGGAACGACGTAGATGTAGGTGGCGGAGGTGGTATTCCCGAAGGGTTCCACATGGGTCGATGGGTCGCCATTGCATAGTGCATAGGGCCACGAAACATAGGTACTGTTTGGTGCCAGCCATGTTGATGTCGAGGAGGTGTGCGTGAGCGATCCGGCTGGGAAGGAGGAATTGCATTCAAGTCGGAGCTATACTGGGAGATCAAATCTTGGGACGCCATGATGTAGACGGGCACCACGAGGTGATAGATCAAAATAAGCTCGATTAGCCAACTGAAAACTGCGGTAAGGTGAAAAGGTGATACGAAGGTGGCGTGCGATCAGAAAGGTGTGAAACATGGTAAACAGTCTGTGTGTGAGACGTGAGGTGAAAATTGAGGTAACTCATAATTCCAATACCATGAGCCTGCAGCGATTCAAAGACCTTTTGATGGAAGAAGTGGCATCAATACCGAATGTCGGGAGAAGCATTGTTACTCCAAAAGAATCGGGTAAGGCCACTAGGCTCACTGGAACGCTGTCGCGGAATAGTCGACAGTTGGCCAGGTACTCCTCGAGGGTGAAGTGTCTACCAGCGAGATCTGGATTGGTTGTATGTCGAGTTTCGAGAACGAGGTTGGCCTTCACGGTGCTGATCTCGAGAATGGCCTTCGTGATAGGAGGAACGGCGATCCCGACGGTTGTAGGTTGAGCTGTCCCAAGAAGCATTGTCGTGCCAATGTCGGCGAGCATGATCTCGTGAGGCATGTTCGGTAGTCTCGTAGTGGCTGGTTGTCGCTCGAGAGTCGTCTGGAGGTGGGTCTGAAGGTGCAGGTGTGTCAGCGGTAGGGTCAGAGCCTGCTGGACGTTCATGATCAGCTGGTGGTTCAGAGGCTGCTGCAGCAGTGGATGGGTTTGTTTCCGCTGCCTGGTGTGTGATCAAGCCTGGGTAAACCGAATGAGTAGAAGCAACATAGCATATTGATGCAGCGCTGGAGTTCATAGCCGTTGCATTGTCTTTGCCCTTGGAGATGCCCGATAGATTGCACAAGCGTTGAATTTGGTCATTTCCTCCAGATAGGGCCCGTATGCATTTAGGAGAGCGACAAATGGCCAACAGGCCAGATGGGTTTTGTCCTTTCCCTATACGGTAAAGCTGAGATGTACATACCTTGACAGCATAGCCTGGTAGGGTATCGATGTCAGGAATCTCAGCGGACATGCCGAAGAACCCGTAGCATGGGTATTGAGTCGGGTAGCCGGCTTCGTTTTTTGTCCAAGTTGCCGGGCGAATGCAATCTTCAGCAAGGATCTTGGCAACTGTTTCCCAACTCGTTTTGTGGTAAATGAGGTAGGTGCCCATGTGCTCGCCACGGTAGATTGGTTTCTTGGGCAATCCCGTTGGGACAGTGATGGTCAGCAGGTTCTCTGGTTCGATATAAAACGCTTTGGTTTGCTTCGCCAGCTCGATGTCCAGTAATCTGGATTGTGCAAAGGCCCTGGCAATGTTCTTGACGGTGGCTTGACTTGCTTTGATGAAAATAAGTTGGTTGTTAACGGTGCGATATGGTTGAGCCAACTGGTGGAACATTTCGTCAACGAACTGGTTGAAGAGCTGCATGTTGGAATGGTTCAAGGATTGGCGTAGGGGTACTGTGTGGTCGGGGTCGAGCTCGGTCAAGCAACGTACCCTGAGTGGATCATTGGCCGCCTCAACCATTTCACTGAGGTCAATGTCATTCGTGTCAAATTTTGAGATCGAGAATGAATCTGTCACCTCAGAGTTTTCGCTGTCACCGTCAGGGACGCGGAAGGCCACGGCTCCAAGTGGTGCTGCGGGTTGTGATGGTGGGTTGGTGGATGGTTCAGGTGGTGGTGGTCCGGCGGGAGAGTTGGGTCGAGCAGTGCTGTGATGGTAGTTGTCGGGGTAGTGACTGTTGTCCCATTCGCCCCAGGTGTCATCAGCATCAGGTGTGGGGATGTAGGCCGGATTGGATGGGCGTGGAGCTGGTCGTAGTACGACTTCGCGGCCGCTGGAACGTCGACGAGGTGTGTTGGAGCGTGGTCTGGGGTGAGATCGATGACGTCGGGGAACCACGGGGGAGCGGCGTCTTGGCGGTGATCGTCTTCTGTATGGAGAAGGAGTTCTGCGGTCCTTGTCGTGTTTCGTGGAAGATCGAAAACGAGGAAGGGGAGAACGAGGTCGAACATCACGGCGAGGAGAATGTCGACGATGATGTGGTTGTGCAGAAGGTCGACGAGAGCGTGATCGTGGAGCCCTGGATCGTGGTCTGTGCGCTGGCGATGTTGGAGCATGTAGGTGGTGAGGAGGAGAAGTGGCTGGGCCAGGAAGGATGCGATGGTCAGGAACTTCAGGTTCGGTGGGTCGTGCTTTGGGTGCAGGTGGGGGCATGGCCGTAGGTGGTGTGGTTGTTGAAGGTAATGGTGTAGGCGGTGTAGGGTCCGGTGCAGGTACATCGTGGTGAATAAGTAGCTGACGTTGTTCTTGGGCGCGTTGAGAATCCAAGATCATTTGTTGTTGAGCTTGAATAAGACGAACAGATTCGGCAAGTTGTTGTGTAGTGGAGCCCAGCGCTGCAAGTTCTGGTGAAATGGATGGAGACGGTGCTGCCGTTGGTGCCGGTGGTGCCGCAGGGGCAGAGGCTTTGGGAGCTGAACGACGTGGTTTGTCAGGTCTCTTGTCGGAACGAAGCTTTGGGGCAGCCTTAACTGCTGGTAATGGAGGTTCATCTGGAGGAACCATAGATGCTTCCGTCAATAGTGGAGGGTGAGGATGGCGAGGTGGGTATGGAGAGCTCGGCAATGGTGTCGGTGGAGTAGTCGTTGTAGGCGATGGAGCTGGAGCAGAATGCCATGTGGGTGGAGCGGTGGGTGTCGGAGGAGTAGTGAAGGTCGGTGGAGCGGTGTGCATCATAGTGGTTTCAGGGGCCAGAGGTGTGGGCATTGTCGGCACGATTTGAGGGGCTGGTACCGCATGAGGGCCCGAAGTCAGTGATGTAAATGGCAAGGATGGTAAAGATGGTGTAACTGACGTAGACGGCATGAGCGAAGACGACGAAGACCATGTAGGATGTAGTGGCGAAGGCTGTCCAAATAAATGCGCGTTCTGCGTTGATTGTGGCCACGTCGAAGATGGATTCGTAGGCTGCGGCGGAGCAGGCCATGACGTCGGAGGAGTAGTCCACGGGTACATTGGTCAGGTAAAGAAAAACTACAATGGAAAGTCACACACAAGGATTTACCGCAGGATTCAGCTCCTAAACCTACAGGTCGTGCGTTGTGCCAATCTAGGCCCGTAGTCCAGTCAGCCCCAAGGGCATAAGACGGCTTTCAGGTTCCAGCGAATTAGGTGCACAATATGTTTCACCTCACCAGACAACCAAAAGGAAAAAGACCACACCTGAAAGACGTGTGCCTGCCTTTTCACAATGTCTTGACATGATTCCGTGTAGCTGCAAAGGCAAAGGTTGCTGCAAAAAACGGAGGTTTCTGAAGTTCGGCACGGCTTCACAGTTGAAGAAACGCATCGGCGAGTAATCCCTGGGACATCCGGAGCAGCAGGAGAACTCAAAATGGCTGACAAACCGTAAGGCCAGCTGTTGCAGTTTACTTAGATGAATTACCAAATTAAAATGTGTTAATTCGGCAGTCAGGACAGTCGTCACTCACCCTAAAGAGGGTTGCCTCAAATGGCTCCATGGCACCATGTCGGAGCCACCATGGAAATCACACTAGACAAGAATGGATCATTATATGATCCGGCAGGAACTGAATCCTGAAACATGCAGATTAGATACGAAACAATGAAATTACCGATGCATCCTACGAATAATAGAAGTTCTCCTGAATGGTCATCGGGTTCAGAATCGACATCAAAAAGAATAAATAAACCAGCAATAATATCATCGGCGATGTCTCGGCGAAGCTTAGACAATAGATACTGTCGGCGACGATGTTGTCGGCGATCATGTAAACGGGTTGTTACAAGTATGCTTTCTACGCCCTTGCTCAGAGGAAGGTTCTGATGCAGCGAAACAAATCGTAAATGACCAAAATTGATTCCAGATTGCGACAACAGTGCAGCAACAAGACAGCTTGTTCAACAGTTCAAACCAGATTCTGCAGGTACACAGAGTTGATCAGACTCTGCTTCCAGCACAAGTGGATAGCTTCGTTGGGTGCAGTCTCCACTGTGCTCTGCCCCCCCCTGCAAATGTGAAAAGATGAGAACAATAGAAGTTTTACATCTGTTCAGATGTTACACACACACACACATTGCAAGAGCACTAAACAATGCATGACTCTGTTGCAGTCTGCTTCCCAAAGTGAGGAAACACATCTTTGGATGCAATTCTCGGCGGTGAAAGGCTATGAACCCCACATAAACTCTATGTGAGCTAGGGACAGTACTGCCCAAAAAAAGATCCAAATCTGTTAGCCTTCCTGATCATTCCTTATCACATCGTCATGTCTACAATTCAGCCATCACCACTCAAAGCGCCATTCATCGAGCAGCTAGCGATCCATCGTCAGAAATCTGGGGATCAATGAATGGGCCAGAACCCAACTCGGAGGGGTCAAAGAGCCGCTTCAGTTCTGCCTTTTCCTCAATACCCTCCCGGACATACAAGGCTCCTGAAGCTGCTGAGTTGGGGGAGGTAAGTCTTGGGAAAACTTCAAATGAAGAATATATACCATTGAATGTCCTAAAATGTCAAACAAAATCTACTAGATGTCATCGATCGTGAAACTAAAATCACGAAATCACAACAAATTAATTGCAGATGACTGCTGCCAAGTGAGTCATTTTGACTCATCTTTGCATCCAGTCTGCCACAATTCTGTTTGGATGAAGAAATCTCCTCCCATTGGCACCAGCACAAGCCCCTGGCCACTACCGGCGATCTTGAAGGAGGTCACACCTGCCGAGATCAACTGGGCTCCAAGACTCCGTCAATGGATGTGATCAGAACCTGTGAAAAATCAGGAAAAAACACCAGCCTAGGGGCTGGAATATACTGGAATAGCTGAATTTTACACATTTTGGAAGGCAGAAAGCTTGGAATGCATGACCACATGAGTCATAAAAAATCTCGGACACTATATGATACACCAACCAACATGTTGACATGACGATATGATATGACATGATATGATTCACTCTGCGATTCCTACCACCTTTTTCAATGGATTTCTGAGTCATTTCTGGAAGTGCCTGTGTTCATCTGTCGTGCTCGCTCTCTGCGCAGCTTCTCTTCAAGGGAGAGCTCTTTCTCCTCACCTGTCAGCAGCGTGTTTCACAGTGCTGGGATCACAGCAAGTGTCCATAAGTCCTCCAGTTCTGGCCCTCCAAAGCAATCAGTCCCTTTAAGCAATCGGAAGGAATCGAACTTCCAATTCGCCCAATATTTTGGGCCGCGATTTGCCTGGAAAATTGGACAAGAAGCTCCATCCGCACCTGTCCCCGGCGGTGTACACGCAAGAGCCACAGTTTTTCCAGTTGACACATCCGTCGCATAGAGCTGCCGCGACAAACTTCCGTATTCCGAACTCCTGGAGTCATACTGCAGAGTCCCCATGTTCGAATCAACAGTTGAGTCGACATCTGGTCAGTTCGTGAAAAAAAAACAAAAACAATGTTCAACCCATGCAAGAATGCGACACAGAATGACATGAAAGATTGGACTGAAAGCCAATAGCAAGATGAGATCTGCTCTTTGACTGAAATTCACGAGCAAACCTTGGACCTTGTTCGTTTGGCGGGGCAACAAACAAACAACCGCTAGAAGATAAGAGAATTTCCCGCAACCAACATTTCCAAGGCGCTTCAAATAGAGCACGTGCGAGCCATCTGGCAGGAAGCTTGAAGCGCCGATCGTCTGAAAACCTGGGACAAGTCCGGGAAGTCCGGGTAGTCCATCGTGGCCCAACCAGCATCTGTCTAGTGAAGGTGGCTGTTTTCCAACCATCAATGGATTGAATTAAGGGAAAATTTACAGGAAAGCCCCATATTTAATGGGAAAATCTATGGTTTCCTGTAGATTTTCCCTTAAACCAATCCATTGAAACCAGCTATGGTGTCATGACCAATATGACAAACTATCCTCATCCCAGCCTGGACGTGGCAATTTGGCAATTTGTGCGAAGCTGAGCTCCTTTTCCTTGGTGCAGTTGACACAGAAGGACTTTATAGCCATGCTGTACTACCCACATAGAAATACATAAATATACATAACAACATAATAAATATATTATTAAAATATACAGTTATATTATATATATATATGTGTGTGTGTGTGTTCCAGCTATGGGTTGAATATCGGTTGCATGTCCATGTGGAGGGCTATGAGTTACTGCGTATCTGACACGATAACAGTAGTTATCAGAGCTGGTCACACTGTAATTAAGACAATTCACCCTTTGCAAATGAAATCGTGGAATCAAGCTATGTCCATGTTCCAGACATCTTCTTTGGAAGCAGCTCCAAACAGCCACAGTTCAGTAATGAGGACCTCTTGACTTGTGTGGTTCATTGTCAAACATCAATCATTGATTTCTTGCAAAACTTCGAACGCAGACTGTGCAGATACATCTTTTCCCCACATTAGAAACAGTCATACATTTTCAAACTCCCCCACAATGCCAAACAATTCGGCACTCATCACAAGTGAACAGATTCTGATGATTAAAAAAAGAATACATTGAAAACATGGAATACACTTCTGCAACTTGTCTGCCTGGCTCAACTGTCAGCATCAGCTCAGCATCTTTCGGTCCATCTGCCACAAGTACTCCTCCTGCCGCCATGCCGGCGGCCGTGGCGGCTGCCACGATGGCGGCTCGGGATTTGCCACGGCGACTGGCCATCTGTGCCCCGCTGCCTTTCAGCCCGGCGGGGGCCATGTCCAAATGCCTGGAGAGCACATCGATACGGCCTTGGAGCCAGAGCCAGGTGCCCCTGGTGGACATCACAAACACATAGAAACATACAGAAACCATCCAAAAATATCAAGTCAAGTGTTGTCACCCCCGTCACTAGCAGGAGCAGCACAGTCTTCATTAACGTTTCGCCATCCGTGCTGAGATGTGCATGTCAAATTCGAAGTACTTGTATCATATCATTAAATGTTGATTGAGATCTCATGAACAGCGTTCATCACCTGCCACCGCGCGCTCTCTGCAAGTTAGTCACCTCCTGGCCTAAGCGCATTGCGGCTTGAAATCCCACGGGCTGCGCCGGCAAAGGATGCCCCAAAGAGCCGGCTTTTTGCCACGAGCCCGGCAGCCACTGCACTCATGCAAAGAATGTGGCACCTTTTTGCCTCGGCCACAATATTCCACAATCATCCGACTCAAATTGGAGCACTTCGATGGAGACCCACAGCTCTGTGACATACGACTCTTTGCAAGGGGTTGGAGATGTTACTCAAACACACCACAAGACATGTCTTGATTTTTTCCAATCGGCTCAAAGATTTCACCTTTGTTGAATAGCTATGAATAGCTTCTGAAAGTCGTCCAAGTTGCGCGGCGTGGCATCAGTAAGCGATGGCCAAGTTGGAACCGATCTTCTGTTTTGAGCCCAGAGAAGCGGAGGCGGAGGAAGGCGGAGGAGTCCAGGGAGTTACGAATGGCTGCTGGCATCAACTAATTTGGCAAGAAATCGAACTAGCCACAGCATGGCATGTCCTGCCAGAGAAAGAAAAACTCATCAGCCGATGCAGTACAAAGATGTACAAAGTACAAAGATGTACGTACAAAGGGGGGTCATCTCCTTGATTCCCATTCCAGATTCGGCTGCGGTCTCCGTCCTCCGCAAACCACAGGCACATTGGCCCGGTACTCTTCTCCAGCGAGATATCCTCGCTGCGGATCCAAGCAGTTTGGACAGATTGCTGGGCCATTGCAAATGTGGGATGATGCGACCCTGGAATACCCTGGATGTGTAAGACAATAGGATGTTTCAAGCCATGTTCAGCAATCATGATTACTGACCAAACTAGTTGATTAATTCAAGAATGCGCAAAATCATCAAAATATATCAACATATATCAACTATATATTCATATATGATTCATATTAATGTCTGTACTTCGCATGGCACACTCTGAAATATTCTGAAAAGTCATGATTCGAGCACATACTTTGTATGCACATGGGATCTTGGGATCCTTGGTGTTGCAGCACAGCTTCAGGTATTGAGCCGAATCCCTGAAGACTTTCTTATCTTTCGAAGCCCAGATGGGAGTGACAGTCATCCCCAATTTTGATGAATTTTGCACAGCGCAGCAGCGCAGCACAGCGTCCTCTGGGACCATCACGTAATACACCCGTCCGTTGGCCATGCCACGTGGCTCCTGGGAAATCAGCGTTGCCACTGGCCATGGGATAACCAGAGAATGAGCAGAATCAACCCCAGATTCGAAATGATTCGCACGCGAAACACATTTTGGTGCTTTGACTGATGAAGGTGGCAATGGTGGCATTAGCAACACGACGGCACGATGGTGCGCTCACGCCCCTGGAATTGCCGAGGCCAGTGCATAGAATCCGCAGATGATGACTGGAGGCGCCCCATGGTCTTCCACGGTTCCGATCACCTTGGCATCTTTTGTGTAGGAAATCCCATACCGTTGAAGTCCACATCTTAGGTGATGTGTCCAATCCGTTCCGCGCATGCGAATCCACTGACAACACCGTTCAACATGGTCAACAACAAACAAGTCAGTTGGTGGAAGTAGCGCTGGAATCCTGGAAGCCTTCTACCCCAGGCCTCCAACCTGCCAAGAGCTTGGCAGCCAAATCAGATATATAAGATGCATAAAGGTACAACATGGTACAGCCTCTGCTTGTGAAACGGATGGGTATCTGTCACAACAAATCTGATAACTCTGATAAATCTGTCATAGATCGCCCATGGAAACTGTGATTTCTCACTTGAACTTTTTGATCTCGACATCTTTCAATATTCATCAATAGTCCATGTTCACAAAGATTGAAGCAGTTGCTGCAAATAGGTTTTGTCAAACTCCATCCTCCCACGCCCAATGGAAGCTGCATCGGACTGTTTTGAGGGCAACTTTGTGAAAGATGGCGTGTCTTGACTTCTGGCCCCAGAAAGGGCCCAGAATCTAATTCGAGCTTGGACTTAAACAGTGCACTCATGTACAATCATTTTTATTTTGGTTTTACATGCCGATTTGATGAATTATATTTGCTCTGAGCAAAATGGAGTTAAACATGGACCATTAAACATATTCCTAGCCACACCTGATGGACACTTGAATCACAACAAGTCCCCGCACCTGCAACTGCTGCCTTCACTTGGCATGGGGGATAGAAACCAAGCACAAACGGACAAATGGTGATAAATTGTCCTGGAAATGAAAAGGACTCCGAAGTCTCCCCCTCAGGTGATGAAATCGGAATTTCTGGAATCAGTGTGCCCAATCCATAGGCCTCCAAACCAACAATTATCTTAAATGGCGCCTGCTCTACTGTCTTTACATGCAGGTGCCACATGAACCTTGGGTGTCCTTGGGTTGTGCGGCGTGCATTTCAGAAGTGGACCAACTCCAAGTTCCCAGGTCGAATTTGAGATGGCGAAGGAGCGGAAACCAATGAATCCAGTGGGTGATATTTCATGGCCAGCAAGGCAGCCATAGGAAGTGAGTTGCTGTTGATATCTCCTAGTGCCGCCTCTGCATCATAACCAAGAGGAGCCAGGCGGCACGTATAACCTCATGATGCTGCGCAGCATGCGTTGCGCAATAGGGGATATCAGGGGACGTCGTGTGTGATAAATTATCGATGTATATATATCGATATATATCTCGATTATCGATTACCTAGGTATGGGCACGTCACGGTAAATCTGAAACTTCAGCAACGCCTGCTGGCAGGTCACTGGAATCATCAGCTTTCCCCTTCACTGTCTCCTTCACAAAGCAGTGTCCACACAAACTTCGGCCTTCGCCACCTTCGCCATGTTGTTGGCCCTCGAAGCGCGGCCCCACAATGTTCTGCTGCCGACACAGGGCACATGCGATGCCTCCATGAACTGGGGCGCCAAGAAGGATGGCAGCCCACTCGGAACAAGGTCTGGTGTCTTGAAAGCTCTCAGGAAAGACACATGGCAACACGACTCGGAGGATATCCTCAAGGGATGGAGAACGTCCAGAACGTCGGAGTACCATGGTGCTGCACGAGTTTGGATGACATGGATTATACCAGCAATAGATGTTCGAAGTATTGTGTACAATTGAAGCACAGTAAGTACAGTACAACTCATACTGTAAATACTCATAAAACATCATAAAACAGCAATGAAAATGGAAACTGCCTTTCTTCAAGCGGCAGCCAGGGGATTTTCCACTGGTGTAAGTAGTGTAGCTCCCCGACCCTAAACGGTCCTTGGCAACAGCCAAAAGCGCACTGGCCAACGTTGAACGCGAGCTGCACGCGACCAAACAGCGCAAGAGTTCTGCCAAGGTATCACCAAGACGCGCTGCCTCGCTACCAGCCAAGTAATTCTGCAGATCATCACGAACGTTCCTTGTCTCAGGAATTTCCTGGAAATGAATACAAAGTCTCTTGATAAAGTGCATCAGTGGCTTAAAGTTCTTGTCTTGTCGCATTTTCAGGCCTTTCCGATTCATCTTTTCTACCTTGCGTTGCACGCGTTGCGCAAAGATGGGTAAGAATTGCAGCATCAAACTGGCCAAGATTTCTGGAGTGAGTCGTCCACTCTCGTGCAACCCCTTGAGACATGCCAACAAGGCCACAGGACCCAGGCTGCGTAGAACCGGCAGAACGCCCGTCACTGCAGTCACGGAAGGTATGCCATATATGCCGTTCAGGGTCCCAGTTTCAGAGGCCCGTCCCGGGGGTTCCTAGGGATGTGATCCGTGATCGCTTCAAACAAAAACATTTCCGAAATGAAAACTGATTTCAGATTTCAGTACTCTCAAGACAAGTGTGAAACTGAAATCTGTGATCTACAGGATGTGCACACACACACACTCTCACATAATCACACATACGCACAGACATACATAATGACATATGTTTGCATTTCTTCAGACTGAGGCGTGCAAATGCATACAGACTCAGAAACACGCCAGGATCTATACACATCTACTCAGGTGAAATAAGTACAATATGTATCCATATGTATGCATCCATGCATGCAAACTTATGTTGAATTTGATGATCAATGAGGAACAATGTTCAAGTTCAATCCATAATCTTCTGAACGGTGTCGCATACATTTCGGCTTGGTGCGTTGTCATGGAATACTACAGTATATTGCACATGTTCATACGTGGTCTATTTGTTCAACCTAGACACCAGGGAGAGATTCTGGTCACCAGACATCCTGGATTTTAACCCACCTGAGAAGTATTGTGCAGGTCTAGAGCCTCTAGAGCCTGTGGCAACTCTGTGGCAACTCTTTGATGACATTTCACCACGGCGGCTCAGGAGGAGTTTGGGCGGAGTGTGGAACTCCTCTGAACAAGAGATGGGGCGAAGCAGGAAGTCCTCTATAGTCAAAGGAGTAAGGGTACCTGAGGATGCTGCCCTGGAAAGGCACTGGAAAGGTAAGAAAGCAAGGGGGTGTCTCAACATATCTCAACATATCAGTTGGATGAGCGTGACTTGATGAGTATCAATACAGTGACTCTCAAAAAATGCTCCCTCAAAAAGGGGTAAGCAAACGACCAGTTGGATCTGGATTACAGAAAGGTGTGGCTGGAAATAACAACTTGAAAAAAATGACTGGAATATCCACAGATATCCATGGTGCAAAGATCACCTTCCTCATCTTCATACTTCAGAGTTACGAGAGTCTCCTCACCAAGGCCTCAATGGCGAAGCTGGAGCTGGTGTTGGGTACAGGAGGTTTCTTGCAGATTAAAGGAGTACCCCCGACATTGTTTTACAATGTTTTACAATGTTTTACACATGTTTTGTCCAAGAAAAATGCTTCTGGTGCTGACTCATTTTCGCCGTCAGGCCGTCACCTTTTCGAATAGTTTTCTAAGAATCCCTACCTGGTTTTGGGGGTTCCCTGTACATCATTCTACAGCTAATGGATCCTGCCCTACTTACCGCCGAATAATACGTTCAATTGTCCTAAATTAAATAAATGTGGTTGCTCAGATGGACTTCAGTGCATCTTGTGACTTTGACTTTCGATCTAGTCACCACTACCGAACCTAGTCTCAGCGCTTACCGCTCTTGTCATCTATTGTCATAATGTGAAGAGGCATCTGCTTGATCTTCTTGTCAGAAACTGTTTTATGCGCAGTTTGAAGGCTGCAGGTATGATGCTCCCATCTGATAAACAGGCCGACACATGACAAGACAAAGTCACCCTCAGAAGGCACGCAAAAGGCAACATGGACAGAACATGTCAATACCATGAAGCTTGTGAAACTCTTTCTTTCTAGATGGCTAATCAAACTTGCAAGATTGCTTCTGTTTGGAGCAGGTCCACACTCGTCTGGGCCGATATTCTTGCCGAGGTATCCTACCAAGCCTACTTATACTTAGAGTAAGTTCGGGTTTGCCTCCTGCCAGTCTGTGGAGAGTTTCGCTGGATTCACATTGTCTGTTCCTGCAACCATGAAGGTGGCGTTATTCTTGGAACCAGAAGCAACCTTTAAATTCTGGCTCTTCCACACCATGTCTCCCACCCAAACCGCAATGGCGTGACTCGCTCCGATTCAACGTGTCTGGGTCTGGGGGATTCCGAACAAGCCGTGGTAGCCGTGGCACCAAAGCCTTCGCAAACTGCCAGTTGGATTTCTTCAAATGCTGCCCTCAGCTGTGCACCCAGAGTGACACTGATTCGCCGAAGATCTCCTGGGATGAGGTTCCTATCCCCAGCAGTTCTTCAAATGTTGGTCCAAGAACAAACTGCTTGCCGTTATATATATATATATATGTTCCATGACAATGCTCCTGATGCTTCTGATGCTTCTGAAATGTCTCGTTTTTCTCACAAAATGATGTGGTTGTAATTATATTTAATCATATGTAATTATATGTAATTTAATTAGAAGCAATGATGAACCGTATGCTTTGATCATGTTTGATCACTGTTTATGGTTGTCCCTTTTTTTGGGTCATCATCCACGCTTGGTGATGCTCGCAACGAGGATTCGTTGCTCCGACCGAAGGAGAGTTAGAAACCCTGGACCAATCGCCGGTGCGCGAAGCGGGGCTTTGGACTTATGGAGGCTTGGACAACATGGAAAATCCCCAAAATAAATGGAGGTTGATGTCGCTGGGAAGATCATGGAAAATCATCTATTTCTATGACATTTGCATTTGTTGTACCCTCTGGTTATGACTAACAGTTCGCCATGGAAAATCCCCAAAATAAATGGAGGTGTCATTTCTAGCTGGGAAAATCATCTATTTCTATGGGCCATGGCTTCCATGGCGAACTGTTAGTCATAGATTCCTGGAGATTGATGAGATTTGCTCTCATATAATCAGGGGTCAGGACCTGTCGTTTCACATGTTTCACCGCACATAAACGTCCTTGATAGTCAACTTCCAGCAAAAGTTCGGCCGACATCCAGCTGTCCACTAGCTCAGCTGAAAGATGCTGAAAGGGGTGAGGGAAATTCTGGTATATTATGTGCTTGCTTGAAATGTGAAGGACTTAAGAGATACATGATTTGAGATGTACCCTAAATATCTCTAAATGTTGCAAATCCACAAAATAGGTTTGAATCTGTCAACTCGTAATGTGATTTTCTGTACCTTCTCAAACCATGACCTGTCATTGAAGACTCTCACAAAGCCTTATGGCTGTCATGAAGCACCAGCACAAAGGTTTTCTGGGGCAGCTCTGCAGATGTTTCAGGCTAGTTGTAACTCTGTCATCCTGTATATCGATCATACATAATCAGGTATGCACGTGCATGTAGACAATGTAGATGTACCAGCTGCGTCCAGATTTGATAATTTTGATATGACATCAAAATTGACATCAATTATCCCTATTTTCACAGTTGATAATTGACATCAATTGACGCCATCCCGTTTTTTTACATCACGGTCCAGCTTGGCCCACGACGATGCCAGGACTGGCCAAGCGCACGGCGATGTCACGGTTCGGAACCTTGGGGCCCGTCAATGAAAAGAGCTCTTGGCATGTGAGTTGGATGGATTTAAAGTGAAAAAAAACCTCTGGTTATGACTAACAGTTCGCCATGGGTTGGTGATGGCCCTAATCGAAATAGATGGTTTACCTATTAAAAATGGTGATTTTCCATGGCTATGTTAAATAACCAAAGGGCAAATGCCCTGAATGTGTTGAACTTACCATCAGTTATAGAATGTTATAGAGTCTTCATGACTTGGTCCTTGCTTCTCGCCATGAAGGAACATGGTGGTGGGCTGACAGCAACATTCAACCGTAGGGTGCTACGACACATTTCCCCAAAACTATGTTTTTCAGACAGCCATCTGCATCTGGGATATTTGTCTCTCACCTTTCCAGCTGTTGTCCTTCACCTTTCCCGCGAAATTTCTGAAGTGCTTCCGGTTTAGCATACGGTAGGTGTCTGAATTGGGTCTCGCCATCTCCGGCACCGCCTGGTGCAGATTCCGGTCGGCCAGGCTGCCAGGTGGCCCAAATCGCATCAGCATCTTCCAAGCCAATGGTGTCGGCCTAGGCTCAAGCATTTGTTTGCAGGTGAAAGGTCAATGAACAATATTCATGATATCAATTGATATCATGTATTGTGAAGACAGCCATCCTGGGCTCAAACAAATAGAAAGAAATCAATAGGCTCGTGTACACTTCCTTATACTTCCTTGGAGGTCTGGAAGAAACCAACCATCATGTGTGAGCAGTGTCGCTGACCTGCATGGTCCGAACACATGAAGCGTTCAAACTCCATGGTTCGTTCCTCCCAATGCTTTGAGAACCCAGGCAGTTGGTGACTCCCAGCCCTCTGCCTCAACCTGCCCGTCGCAAGTAGGAAAGAGGAAGCATTCAGAAGTACGGCTCTCCCTTTCCGGTGCATTGAAGCCCGTTAAAATTAGCGTTGTTTCGGTATCACAGCAATCCGAAACTTGGATTGCATATTGTACGTTCTTCAGCTGTCTGGATTCTCGACGTATGAATCAGAATGAATTAGGCAAAGAATCCCAGTTATATATGATCAAAATGTTTCAGCTCCACCATTGAGAGCCCTGAATTCCAGCAAACATCAGTGTCGTAGGATTGTTCTGGACATACATCTGCAGGCTAAAATCAAGTAAGGACGTAGATGGATGTCATCTCTCATCCTTTTGTCTGAAGCAGTTCCATCAGTTTTGAAGCCATCATTCTTGCGGTGGTCAAGGTCTCCACAGGGACCTTGAACCATGCAAGACCCATCTTGCAAATGGTTGGCTCCGCCGGGGGGGTTTGCCCGGCTTGGAACAAGGTCGACTGGGACGACATGTCATGAGTGTCTGCAGCCTTTTGTTGTTCTTGTAGTCATGGTGTTGATTTGACTGTGTTTTTTCATATAAAATGTGGTTGTTCACAAGAAGACTTCATAACATGTTTTCAGATGCAATTGATCATTGAATGTTTTGACAATGTCCAAACTTGAGTTGTTTTTCGCCAAATCTGGCGGAAAAATCAACAATCACCTGTAATTTACAGCGTTTCCATTTGACACGATTTGCCATGAATGCTGTTTCGTGGAGTTTGACTTTGTGCATCGTGTTGCGGATCGGTGGAATATCTTTGCCACCACTTCTTTCGCGCTGGCAGCAGTTGCCTCTTCCTATTCTGGATGAGCTGCATGAGGCGAATTTGATGTTCAATATCTAATGGAAAAGATGTGTAATAAGATACAAGTTCATGTGGTTCATGGTTCTTTTTTGGTGTTTTATGAGTCAGGCACTTTATGAGTCAGGGCCTTCTAGAGCGGCTCAAAGTTCCTGGGAGGTACCGAGTGGCCATGTTTACATATAAAAACGAACGTTACCACACCCCACCCCACCCCACCCCACTCCACCCCAAGCGTAACACCTTTGCACATGACACACCAGCAGCGTACCATGTGTACACATGAACACCAACGTTGACACACCTCACCCCACCCGACCCCACCCCACATGTTAAAATTCCGGGCAAACCCCCCCGGTAGACCCAAATGGTTGTAAGGGAGTGATGAGTATTCTTTGTGACAAACCAACAAACTCTTCAATTTTGCTTGAAATAAAAAAAAAAACGAAAAGAGCCGGTGGACCGCCTGGTCTTGAGTTCCTAAGGTGCACATCAGGCGAAAACATGTCCAGCCTCCCAAGGCCAGAAGCAAGCCCATGTCGAGCCGTCATCTGGAATACTCCTGCCATTCTGAATCGATTGCCAGGGATGGAGGGATGGAGGAGTTCTTTCTTCCACAGTCCATATTAACCTGAGATTCAATTACGCCATAGAAGAGTACATTCGGAGATAGGGTTGTCTCAAATGCATCCAAATATATCCAAATGCACCGACATAGATCTCTCCAAAGACTTCAAACCTTGCGCTGCTCTTGAAGAAGAGCAACTACTATATAGTAATGTAGCACTATATAGTAATATAGCAAACCGAAGATACATTTCAGACGTGTTCAAAGTTCAAACATGTTCAAACTTCAAACATCTTTATATACCCTCTGGTTATGACTAACAGTTCGCCATGGGTTGTTGATGGCCCTAATCGAAATAGATGGTTTACCTATTAATAGCATGGTGGATCTTTCCATGGCAAACTGTGAACGTCATAACCAAATGGTATCCCAGTCTATGGCATGCCATGTCTCCTGGCCACAACGCTCTGAACACCACTGCCACCAGGCCTGGGGAGGCGCCACCAGCGGAAATCCGCTGGTAGAGACATGGATGAACGTGACTAATTATATAAGACTATATACTATACCAATCTATACATATCTATACATATCTATACCATATAATGCCCTGTTTAATATAAAAATGATCGCATGAAACAATGTTCCGACATCCTGGAGGACAATATTTTTTCGCGAAAAAACGTCCTGAAAGGATGTCCTTTGGATTGACCTTTGGCCACCACCACCTGGGCAAGCCCGCTTCACGTTGGCCAAGAGCCATCGCCCCTGTCCGGTCGCTGGTGCTGTCCAAACCCTCGACATGGAACGACCATTTTTTGTTCCGCGGGGAATTACAGATCCAGGGAGGGTTGCACCCACAGCGACCCATCATGGCTAATCAATGTTCATCATGGTAATGGGAAATTATTCACTCACATTGATTGCCCTTTAGCTTTGCTTTTTAGTACACAGTCGACCCAGAAAAGTGTGAATGGGAGGTGTAAAAATCTAAAAACAGCCCTTTAGTTGAACAGCCCTGGGGTATAGAATCTAAAAGGTGTCCAGACAGCCGCCTGTTTTGGCATCCAAAAGATCCACAAGCTCGTGATGCCAGGGTCTCAGTTCGTCAGTTCGGGTGAGGCGCTTGCTGAAATCTGATGAACAGCAGAGGTCCAGAGGTCTACTTTGACAGGAGGCACAAAACATGGTCTGGTCTTGTGAAGTTGGAAAGGTTTGGAGCAAGCCCTAAAGATCGATGAGCTGTTTCATCCCTTTCAACCTCAACCCAACACCCCAAGAAAGCAAGTGTGGAACCAACATGAGAACATACGAGGGCAAAAAAGTATCTTAAGAATCTTAAGGAATCCGGTCTGAACATGGAACAGGATGTGGGACACCCACAGAGTCCTCGCCAATGCAATGCCAGTCATACATAAAATCGCAAATTCGCAATTGTTCATGACATGTGAAATAGGATGAAATAGGGAAGTGTTCGATGCTGTCTTCAAAACTTCTGAAGCTCTGCTATCAGTCATATCAGTCATGGTTGTTGAAAGCATCCAGGATCATCAACTACCCTGCGCAAGTCGCGTCGCCAGGGCCACCCGCCATCAGTATCACCTGTCCTCAATGGTGCAAATGGATCAAATGGCAGGGTCGGGCTGCAATTGTGGGATGCAAATTGCTCAATGATTCCTATCAAGAGGGCCTCATGTCTGAGAAAATGAATATGTTTCATTCATGTTTCGAGTCCCTGGTATATGTTTTCTGACTTCAAAACTAGCAGCAAGAGATTCTGTGGATGTTGCCTGAATGAAGCAATGCAATTACCCGACATTGGCCAGCAAAGATCTCTTACCTCTCTTCCTTTCGTGACTGCTGAAGGCCAGTTTCATATCCCAATAAGTTTACAAAGGTCTACTTCACCTACGTATAACAATATGTCAACATGAAATCGAACAATGAGTAACTTGACTCGTTGTACAATGTATAATATTAGATTATTAGATTACAGCAAATGTATATATATATGTGTTATATCATCATCAAATATCATGAAACTATTCAACAAACAATTCATCAAACAATTCATCAAACTATTCATCAGCAATGTGATTTAAGAAAAAAAACAAAACACCCTCAATTTCACAAGAGAAATGGTTGGTATCAATGGTATATACCATCAATATATTCACAGATGTTCATCAAATCTTCACCAGAAATAGGTGGGATTTTCCAGCCAGCAAACTATTCAATTACCAGAGGGTGACCATTTGCCATTATGGAACCATCATGAAACCATCACATTACCTTCATCAACCATTCTTAGCCGTTGCTAGCCATTATATTTTGTTGATTAAACCACTATTTTTCATGGGTTAAATACTAACCAATTCACCAGTATTAACCCTTATTGATGATTAGATATGATTAGATATGATTAGATCTGATTAGATCTGATTAGATCTGATTAGATCTGATATGATTAAAGATTAGATCTGATTAGATGTGATATTCACCCACTTGTTGATGATTAGGTATGATTTGTAGCCATTCTTCATCATGGTGAACCATAAATCCATGGTGAACCGCCGGGGAAACGCCGGTGCTAACGCAGCGCCTCCGGAAGGCCACGCGCTCGTGGACGAAGCCGGAGCGGCGGAAGCCGCAGGTGGACACGGCCGAGTCCAGGGCAGGAGCCTAGGATCGTTAGTTTGAAAAAAAAGCTGTTGTAATATGTTATATTATTAATTGAATTAATACTGACTATATAATATATATATATGTATATAATATATATATATATATCACATTTGACTATAAATGATAATGTGATGATTGTACTTGATCATATGTTTTTCCACTGTCCAAAGGCTTATCATTCGTCTATCGGATGCGTATCAATGTTTCTTAGGATTGTTCCGCCATTTGGAGACACACCTTGATATAAGATGATGTAAGCCCTTGATGCTGGCACGACTGTTGTCATGAGTTTGCTAGCTTCCAGACTGTTTTAACAAGTGGAACATAGACTGGCCTGATGCTGCCACAAATGTGGGACTCAGTGAGTTCCAAATGGGTGACCCCCACCTGCACAATGAGCTCGGCAGCAGGCAACATCAAACTGAAGGCCATCTTCGGCCTTGGCCCCATCCCAATTCGGGAACCGCAGCTGGGCGGTAGATGTGGTAACTTGGGTCCTCGGCTGCTCCAGAAACGCATCATTCCTGCCGCAGACTTGCCAGCCTGTAACCTGGGGCATCAGATTCAGACCCAGGCTATCCATGGCTATCCCACTCATGGCCCCTACCGCGTAGAAAACGACGTCTGCAAAAGGTCCAGGAAGGCGCCAATATAGAATTGAGATAGCTGTTGCCTTCAAATGCCTTCAAAGAAATGCATCTATCAGCTGTCATCTATGTCAATCTTGGACATCTCTTCGGGTGCCTTCGAACTGATATTAATCACGTTCCATCCAAGAACCCCTTTGATTTGACTTAACATGAGATGCTTCATATAATACTTAAGCTAAGCTATTTAATATTATTCCATATTATTCCTGTTCAATCACTTTAAGAGTCTGCTTAGTCCAAGTTACATGGATGACATGCTCACCTTCCCTTGCCCTAACTGCGCCTCCCAGGGCCATCTGCCCAGGTGCATGGCTCTGGCCACAGCACTTTCGGGCCTCAAAGGTGTAAGACGTGACGATCAAAGGGGTTCATAACGTTTGCTTCCTACTTCCAAAAGAGCCAAAATGTCTGTTGTATGCTTTGAAAAGAATTGAAAACCACTATACTCACTATACTCACTATACACGACACGTCGTGTTACCTTTCTTGCTGCTGCGAAGCGAGATGAATTGAGTTTCTATGAGTTTCTATGAGTTTCTATGAGTTTCTATGAGTTTCTATGAGTTTCTATGAGTTTCTGTGCATTGAAACAGTGCCGCAAACAGGTTTCGTTGCGTCAATGTCTGTTGCGTCCCCTGGTATCCCCCTGTCCTGAGATGCACACGCCTCACCAGGACGAGATTCATTCTGAGTGATAACCTGCCAAGGAAACAGCTGCTGAAACTCAGTAAAGTCATGATCCAGTGGATATGAAAAATGATGGTATCATATGGTATCACTGTATCTTATACCATCTGAAAATAATTAACAGTTCGCCATGGAAAATCACCATGCTATTAATAGGTAAACCATCTATTGCTATGGGCCATCTATACCATGGCTATGTTAAATAATGGTACCTTTCCGGTGTTTGAAACTGAGAAAGAATGGATGCCGCGGCCACCGCAGGATGGTTTTTCAGTCCATCTGATCCATACCCTGCCACCCCACCGAGCATTCGACCCACATAGATCCTTCCAGAGCATCCTGAAACGATCTGAAACGATCTGAAACGATCTGAAACGATCTGAAACGATCTGAAACATTGCTTAACTGCCGGTGCCAAAACGCTTGACTGCCTTGACTGCTCAAAGGTCCACATGGCAGGAGACTTCATACTGTCACTATGTCAGGATAGGGCTTGATTAGGGGCATGGTGGCGCATTTTCTTTTGCAGGCGAAAGCGTTATCCACCACAACAAGTCTGAGACAAGGTCGATCAGGGTAGCTCAACACTGGTCAAAACATGTCAAAACCACCCAGAAAGTGAAACTGCCTTGAGGCGCATGTCATGCTCCCTGCAGCCTGGCAGTACCAAACGAAATTGCCGCTGGAGACTCCGGTCCTGCATGCAATCATCGGAAGACATGCGGTTTTTCATCGTCGAGGCGTCAATTGTTCAATGTTACTTCGTAGGTAACTAGGGTCTTGTGCTTGTGGTTCGCTATTGAGATCGTCATACACCCAACGTTGAGTTTGGGATATTTTGGGATGCAGAACTTATTTTCACGCTTCCCCAGGAATTAAGGCTGAACGCGATAGACACAGAATGTAGAATTGAGGACCCCAAGGGCCACTAGGCCACCAGCTTCCCAAGGATTGAGCCAGAGCCATTTCAAGGTACCCTTGACTTTCAGACAGCCCCACTTCCATAACTCCCATCTGGCATGTCCACCAAGGCCCTGGCTGTCTGTAACATGGCCGACCACTGTGAGCACCAATGTACTCATAGATTCCGTTGATGGCCTGCAAACATGTTTAAGTGGCAGGCCCCAATTTGTCATCTACATCTACAAATTAATATATGTCATATATAATATATGTATCTATATATATATATATAATATGGACATATATATATATATATCATCTACAAATTAAAAAAAAAACATCGATGGCCTTGGCAAGTGGCGATCGTACACCATGGCATCGAATCAACGGCGGCACCGACATCAGGATTCGTGGCCATCGCAAGGCCGATGGTAAAGGGGTGAAAGTGAGAATAGATGTGTGCCAAAAGCTGATATATATATATATACATACATACATATTATATATAAATTATATATATACATATTATATGTATGTATATATATATATACACATACATATTATATATAGCTATAATATAGTGTATAGACTACTCGACTTGCCAGCACGCATGTGGACGGCTCCAGACTGACAATCATCAAGATTGTTGTAATTAATTACTTGAAGATGGCGATTGTAGAAGCATATTTCCTAAGAAACAGTGCAGGAAGTCTTTGCAACATCAAGGAAAACATTCCTTCTGAAGCTCTGGTGCACGCATGCTTGACACAGATTTGAAACGCATCCCAAGAAGTCCATGATCCGCAGCTCAAGAGTTGAGCCAAATATCAGGTTTGCGGAGAAGTAATTCAAGGATATTCAAGGAGGGTTGGATTTCTCTGCAAGTTGCGTCCCAAGAGACTTGATGAGAACCCCTTAATAGCCCATGAGAGAGCAAACACATCCATGGAGAGTTTGGTGACAGCCGGACATATTTCCACGCCAACGACAAGTTGTACTCTGAGATTGGGTTGAATGGGATAGTCCCGGATTTTGAAGAGCTTTGGAGTGGAGCATGTTACCGAGTCAGAACATCTCCGGAATGCAAACTCTCAAGGTTCAACTCCATAAATCTTGAATAGAAGTAACTTCATACTACTGTCTAAATATACATGCAAGGATCGAATTTCCACCGGACACCCACACATGATACAAGTAGGAGGTAGACGCTTTCCGTGGCCGTTTTCAAAGTACTCAAAACAATCCTGCATCTGCTTGAATGAAGCCTTTGCAAGTTGCTTTGAACCTGAATCTACAATACTGGTAAAAGACCCATAGATAGAGGTCCTGAACAACAAAAGTCCTTGGTTGGCCCAATAGGCCTGAGACACTTGACTGTTCCTTTCACCTTGACCGGAAGTCAACAATGGCGAAGTCCAAAGTTTGTAAAAAAAAAACAACCACACTGTAGGTCCTCCATCTGCAGTATCAATCACCATTGATCTTTGATTGCTGATCATACCAGCAAGCATTCTATATCTGTATTTGTAGAGCAGCTGATGTGTTGGGGGCCACACGGGCACCCCAATAACAACTGCCCCTTTTAGGCAGTGGCCATCGGGTGTCCATTTCACGCGGACCCAGCTGCTCATATGGTCCAGGCATATCCAGACCATGGGTCAAGAAAAAATTCATTGATCCAGTGCCATGTGCCTGTCATATCTGCCATATATCTGCCGGCAGAGATTTCAGGATGATTTTTTTTGGGTGGTTTAAGAAACCATCCTGACATCACCTGACATCACCTGACATCACCGCCAGTTTTGCGTCAGAAAAAAAAAGGCTCAGAGGGAGGCCATGACACCGCCCAGCTCTTCTCCGCTTGGGGCTCCTAGTCGCGACTCCCTGGCTCTGCACATGTCAGCCATGGTATGCCATTCTCAATCTTGGCGATAATTATTCATGGTTATGATAATTGGATCCCCGACCCCAACTGGTTCAGGAGTAGGGGGGTGGATCCTACATTTCTGATAATGTATGAACATTTCTGATATAATTGGTCGTGGCCAATTGATTTGGACCTCGAAGAAAATGTGACCAGAAAAGGAGACCCTGATGTGGATGTACGACGGATGTGGGACGACTTCCTGCAACATGAGACACGTAGGATCTACCCTCTGGTAATTTAACATAGCTATGGAAAATCACCATTTTTAATGGGAAAATCCACTATTAATGGCAATTTTCAATAGCTATGTTAAATTACCAGAGTGTAATAAGTCTAATACCCTGCAGGTTCTTATACATTGACATTTGGCTTTGAGGGTCTGCAACGTCACATCAGTGGATTCACATGTTCCAGCTCAAACTAGTGAACACTCTGAACATGAATGTGTGTCATCATGTATGTTTCAATGGTCCTTGCAAAGCATGTCACCACGTTCCTATTTTGCACGCATCACATTGTTACCCTCTTTCATTGTCATCAGAATCGATGGTATAGCTCAATGGAGTATGATTGACCCAAAATCTTGAGCTAAATTTTAATATTTTTTCGGCTTCATCTCTGCCCCAGTCCTAAGACCTGTCCACCAGGGCAAGGCCAGAGCTGAATGGGTTCAAATGGCACTTCCTCACCATCCAGACTGAAGCGTTCCTGGGGACGCTGGATGATTGGTGATGATTGATGGATTTAACATGATTTAACATTGTTCTAACCAACAACTCTGCTTAGTTCGGAGCGTCTTCCTAAAAATTAGAGATATTTACAGATAATAAAGACATAAAGACTCAAGACACACCTTGGTGTGGTCAGAATAAACTCCTGATCAACGCCATGAAGGAGGTCCAACTGCCTTCTGATGTGACCATTTCCAGGCACAGTTGGAGTGGAATGTTATCCCAAATGGCAGGCACTGTTTAGCAGACCCACTTGCACGGTGTTTGGAATTTATGGGACTTCCATGGACTTCCAAAATCTGTAAGCCCAGCGGCGCGTGAACTGGATGCGTTGCTTGCAGATCTGGCGGGCACCAAGCGGAAGGCTTTGCACTCCTGGCACAAACCCAAATGATCCCAATTTTGTGTGCTTTCTTCAAAAGCCATGCACACTTTTCCAATCTTTTCCAGCAGAAAACAGGCATTTTTTTCAGAATTTGCCAAGGCAAGATGGCATCCATGGCCATCCATATCATCCATGGCCCACTTGGATCCCCCTTCTCCAAGAAGCCAAGGCTCCAGGATCTCGGTCTGGTCCAAGTTCACGTGGCTCCCAGTTTCAAGGCCCAGCATGAACTTCGTCAGCGTCCCCCGCCCTGCGAAGCAAGCGCGATTCGCGCGATTCGCGCGAGCCGCCCACGGATTTTCTGCTGGCAGATTTAAAAAAAAAAACCGGTTGAGCATCAATGGCATCAATAGCACATTCTGCAAATAAGGATATAGGTATATATATAGGTAACATTTAGCCCCACTAAACGTTAACTAACCTATCAATGCCAATCAACAATTTGAGTAAGGCATGAGGTTAGTTAACGGTTAGTGGGGCTAATGGTTAGAGGTTCGCCGCTTCCGGAAATCGTCGCCTGCATTGCGGAGGAGCGCCAAGTGCCAGGTGCCAGAGCCCATGGCATGGCCAGGGGAAAGGTGCACATCGTAGGCGGCCCAGGCCTTGACTAACCAGCTATAGCAGCTGTGGCTATGGTTGCTTCACCAAGGATTCTCTGCACATGATTCAACCTGGTTAGTTGGGAAAAGAATCATGAATTATGATGGGTAATTCCTGGTTACTGAACCACCTTGATTATTATATATAATATAATATATCAAGTATATGTTTCAGTATTTAGTTTTTCATTGCATCTTTCCTCATTGAATTGTCAAAATCCGCAACCGCCAAGACGCCATGTTGATGGCCCACAAGACGCTGAAGTTGTCGGTCAGGGTGACCCAAGGGCCCTCCGGCAACGGCTGATCCAGAGCTGGTGGCGACGATGACAAGTCCAGTGGCGACGTGCTTGCAGTGGCGGGCCAATAGATCTCTGCGCAAAGTGGTCTGGGATTCAGCAAACAATACACCGTGTAGACCTCGGAAGAGTATTGGAACAAGTTTGATCCAGATGGAGATGGCATCATATATGGCATCATATGGCATCTGTAAAGATGGTGACTTGCTCTCTAGGATTTACAAGTCCAAGTGTTGATTTATGGATACCCCAGAAACACGTACAGTGTATACAGAAATTTCTGTTCCCGCAGAAACATCCCAATCTCCCTCGCCACTTCCAAAGCCCAAAAGGAGTCAGGTCAGCTCCATAGCTACAAAATATGTTGAAATGAGGTCTGGATAGGTCCAAGTCGCCGGGAAGCGCAAGCCACCTAAGAAGCGCAGCGATTCAGAGCCCAAATCAATGTCTGCCACAATGGCTCCAGAGAGCGAAAGAAAAGATGTCCTGAGGCGCACCTTTGAAGAAAAATTTGCAATGGCCTGTCCAATCTCATGACATGCCATGTAGATGACACTGCTGGTTTGGAAGAGATATCGAGTTGAGATTTCCAGGAGCTGTACTATTGATAATTGCCGTAGAAATGATTAAACATGGCATCTTCTTATGAACTCAGCCAGTTTCGAAGTGCTTATCTTGTGCAGAAGCGTTTGGGTATGCTTGGGTCAGATCCCCCCTTCACCGGGTCCTTGGTGGTTGACGCGGCTGTGACACCGCCATGAGGTCCAGCGGTTGGGTTCGACCCTTCGCGATCAAAAAGGCCGCATCTAAGACCTGGTAGGGAAACTCACTATCTCTTGAGGCACTTTGAGAGCTTCCCTACCTGTGTACTGCCTGTGGCACCTTCTATTCCATGCAGTTCAGTATTCAGTACCTTTTTGCATATGGGTTGCATGAATGCACGGCTAGAACTGCTTCTAGATCAGATCAAGAATGACTAAGGTCCAAGTGGACCGCAACTGTCTTATGGCTCAAAGGATCTGACAGACATCTCGACAGCATTGGGCGGGCTTGTTGAAGACGGAAAGATTCAGGTCACAAGAGCACACACACAATCACACACACACAACCTAATCCTAAACGGCAAAAAACAACAATCCGATCCTTTCTGCAGATGAATGACACCATAGCTCTCCCCAGCAGCATGCAGGATACTTTTGGCAAACGCATTTCCACTGCCACCTTGCGCCATCTAGGAATTCTGCACTCGGAGACTTAGAGTAAGACCATCTGAAGGTCGAACTCGGATGAGTCGAACTCTAGGCAGATTGAAGAAACCACCTCTATGCTTTCATGAACCCCTGAAACCCAGTACAGTAGCAAACTGCCCAGCAATTTGCAATGCAAAGTGACACATCTTGAAACTGAGCATGGTAAACAAATGGTCAAATGGTAAACATCTATCACAAGCTCCAGCCTGGGATGTGACCCACTGGGATGCGCAGAGCATCATGGGCATCCTGACGGCTCGCCAGACCATTGAAGACTTCATGCACCATGCCATCTCCACTGACCTAGGAAGGTCTAGTCCCTCTGTCCATAGCTGCCATAGTTGGCCTGGAATCCTGGAAGAGTATGTTTTGAAAATGATGGACGAATGATCAGGGAATATCAGGGAGTCATCATGCGGACCTTGAAGGAGTCCGCTTGAACATGTCTGGCTACGTTTAAAAGTTTCCTCAGGAGCCTCAGGATGCCTTCTCCACTTGGGGAATTTGTGACCTATATATCCCGATACATGGGTCAAAACGACAAGTAAACATGGGGATACATCAACCCCTGTGTTCACCAATCGCTTTCCAAAGCAGACTCGAATTGATTGTCTTTTTAGGATCCTCGATGACAATTCATCAATTCCAATCATATAATCTTTGATTGCAATCCCTACGTTCCGCTGCATGTTATTGGCTCATTATGTGGCAGCATTTACGATTCTTGGCAGGCATTCCCCCAAACTCAGTGGTTTTTTGGATCATTCTGGGTTTCGCCAGCGAGCGATTCCTTAAGATTTACACCAGCAGCACCTGTTGCTGTTGCCAGGCTGCCACCACAATGCCATCGCAGCTGTTGCAAGAGAGTTCTGCGGCCACATCTCGTGCCTCGCGGGCACGAGTGGTCAGCACCTGCAGCAGGTGAATCATACGCATTCACCGGTGGATGGTTCAGGAACTTTGAAACTAAGATGGAAAGTTGGAAAGTATGTCAAAGTTCGGTTTGGAGTCCGTTTGGAGGCTGGTTTTCTGTCCAAAACCTGCGGTTGCCAAGAAGGAACAATGTGTTGCCATTGCGTTTGGGAAAGTTCCCCAAGGGACATCTGCAATGGGCAGACATCCCCAAAATGTTGTGGTGATCCCCTGCCTTAAGGCTATCAAGGATCTGTCATTGGGGTTGTCGGTCACCTGGTTGATACAGGGACAACAGGATAATAGCATGTCACTCCCATCATTGCTCACGGAGTTCGGAGAATTATTGTCAATGGTTTCGGGGCTCCATGGGGCTCCACAATTTTGAGAAACACATTCATACCCCAATGCGTTCCTATCTCACCCAAAAAGCACTACGAGTACATCGTTCAGCTGCCGCAAGCGCCTCTTGGCATGATATCCACGGCAGGCTCCTGAACAACTCTCGGGCCACTTGCCATTTGGCCTCTGCCTGACCATTTCCACTGGCAGGGTTGATGAACACGTGAAATTTCCGTGGCGTTGGGCTCGCAGCGTGGCATTGACCAGATACATCCCTGGCCCAGGCTTCGACCTCTTTCAAGGCTTCCTTAGGATGTGGCAACTGTGCTGATGTTGATCCCATCGCCCATCGCTTATGAACGAAAGTTTCCTCCAAACAACCAACTATGCTTTTCATTCCCGTTGTGGATGAGAATGCGGGAGTTCAATGTCTTCACGATGCAACATGCTCAACTGTGGCTGTTTCAGAGGAAAGTACCTGGACTTAAGCTGTGCTTTCTGCAAGATTTGAGCACCTCCAAATCCCCCAAATTGGTCTATGGCAGTGAACACCTGGCTTTGGGTGGAATACGGGTGGAATATGTAAAAGTTGCTTCGGTTGTATGAGGAAGCATTGGGTGGCCAAACTTTAAGATGTTTGGATGCATCTCATCAGCATATCAAGGCAATGCGGGAACTCCGTTACCATCGTTTGCTATAGATTTGCACCAAAATCCGAAATCATTTAAGCCAAGCAAGATTTTCTTAACGATGGCTTTTGAGAGCACCGAACGGATTCTGATGGATTAGATGTGTTGTTTTTTGGACTCTACAGATACCCTCTGGTAAACTAACATAGCTATGGAAAATCACCATTTTCAATGGGAAAATCCACTATAAATGGTCATTTTCAATAGCTATTTTGACATAACCAGAGGGTACCCATTATCCAGGCCCATCCACCAAACGACTCACCGCACCAGGTGTCAGGCCCCCCAGTGATCCGCAGGAGCACATCCTCGCGCACGCGGGGCCCTGATTTCCGCTTCTTGGGGCAGTGAACAAAGCGCAGCTGTGCCGTTTCGCGGTCCAACACAGCACCTCGGTGAGAATTTTTGTCGGCCTGCATCTACTTACTCATTAGGTCGATATCATTTATAAACATACATATAAACATACTAAAATACAGTAAAGCAACTACAGGAAAATGCATCCATTCATCCAAACCACGCCGAACATATGCCTTAAATACTCTTTCGACATTGCAACAATCCAACACCTTTATGATGAGGCAGCAGAACTTGCAGGCTACATTGGTTCCCCAATTTGATGCTGCAATTTCTTCATCAGCCCAGGTTCAAGGAGCTGTTTATGCTGAAGACTGGCTGTGCCATCAAGGTGTGATGATGGATGCAACATCATCACTTAGAAACAATGACACAAATCGTGAGCCAATGCCAATTTCACAACTCCCAATCAGAAATCGAGATCAGGGCAATTTTATGGGATCATTCATGGAAATTTGAGAATCTAGGAGTACTTCAAAAATGATCGTTTGTGACATGACCACGTGACCTGTCACCCAGATCGTCCAGATGAGGGAATTCCAAACTTTCCATAGTCATTCCATGATATTCATTGATATTCTTACTGGTGCTAAACGCAGGGAATTTTCGGGAATGATCCCAGTCATCACTAGCAATAATCATCCCAGCAACCCAGCAACCCATCCATTCCATACGTGTAGCACCAGTATTCCACAATGGATTCCATGAGTTTTGGCCCCAAGGCACCCAAGAGGTCGGCCAGCTTCAATTCCTGCACTTCAGGGCGGCGTTTCCGGCGACAGCAGCAGCGCAACAGCGAACGTTCGGCCAGAACTGTGCCCGGCAGGTCGTCCCATTCGGAGACTTTGAGCTGCACTGAATCACCTGGGGTGCCGTGAAAACATGATGAACACCTCCGAGATCCGAAAACAAGCCACCGAAATAGAAAACATCGTGGACTAGACCTAATTTTGGCGGACTGCATCCAGAAGTAGAAAATGCATGCGAACATGTCCAGTCAAAGCTGCTGGAGGGAACCTGCGGTCAAAGCCTTGGGTCACGAATTGCCTTCTTTCGAACTTTCCCAACTCTGGTTTAGCCGACCCACTGGACCCTATAATCCATTATAATCCTATATGATCCTATGATACTCGTGCTATAATTCATGTCTGTTGCTGCCGGTAACCCCAGCCTTGAATAAGCTGCACATCTACTGTCGTCGTGGAGCCATCAGGAAACATTTGATGGCATCCCCTTAGCCACATCAGTCACGCAGCACCAAGGCGTGTGGCACATCCAAAAGTTTTGAACGAAATGGCTGCTGCATTGGTTGGAAGCTGCTCTCGGCAGAAATCGTTGGTCAAAAAGATCATACACTTGCAGCACCAAGCTAGTCAACAAAATATCTCTATAATTCTCTATAGGTTAGCAACAATATGCAACAATGATCAGCAAATAAGCCAAACCCATTAGTACCTCTTCCACCTCCTTTCGGCCCAGCACCTTTTCTGGGCTTGGCGGAAGATGCATCCGAGTCAGCTGTACATCCTCTACAGTGCCAGGCCGCTGCGAGCATCCTGAGGTTAGCTATGGTCAAGCTGAGGGTTGGGAGAAATGTTCAGCTCATTGCGAGAACCCCCATGGATGTCGTGAACACTGAAATCTGCCTAGCAGAAATGGCACTCAGGCTTGCAAGGCCTCGGCGATCCTGGCATGCTGCACAGGGGTCGGGAAATATATCGTAATATGTAATCCATGAGAGTCTATGGCTTGTCGTGGCGCTGCCGGCCAGCTAAAGACTCTTCACTTGAGGTGGATTGCCATCTTTATCATTCTCCGAGATTCTCCAAGGAAAGCTATTGTAGCTGTTTGCCGAACAAAACAAGAGCTATCTTCAGCCAAACAATAACGTAATATAAAAGATCCATAAAGATCCTAGTTTTCTTCAGAAACATCAAGAAACATGTCAAGTTCTAACATTCCGAGCCAGCTGGCTGAACCGGTTGAACCCCATCCCACGCACCTGAGCCAGGTAACGAGCACCGAGCGTTTGGTGATCTGAAACTCGACCCTGAACCTCACCCCAAGCACAAAAACCAACGGGCTCCACTGGAAGAAGCACTTGGACACACTGGAATGTTTTGAGTGCAAAAGTTCAGGGACAACTCTGGGGAGGGCTTCAGATGACATAATGTGATATATATATATATATATTATATCATAATTATATACATATTATAATTAATTGGGAAGCTCAAACCGTCGACGGGTGAAAATGGTGAAAGAGATAGATCGTTCAACTACCAAAGAGTCCTTTGGCAACAGTCGAATTCTCTGAAGCGTAGTGAGGTGATGATTGGACAGGACTTGGGCCATTGTTTTGTTGTTATAATTCCAAGGAATTCGAGTCTTATAATTCCCAGGGTGGAACGCACTGAACACTTTATTGTGCTGAGGATTCTGATCATCCAAAGACATAAAGCCGACTGGCACAGCTGAAAGTCGCTTCATGTCTCCTGGATAATGGAATTTCCAACTTCACTCTGCTACGAGTACCATCCACCACTTTCATATATGTTCAATAAATTTTGCGGCTAGACTCCCAGACATCGGTAATTACAATTATTTTATAAATGATTCTGAACATCTGCAGCACAGAGCATCACTTTTTTCTCATTTATCTTCCGCGGTGCATTGCCAGGGGCATGAAAATCAGTGATTGTTGGTAGCAAGCTGCCTTTGCTTCAGGCTTTGCCATGAGTCAGAGTCGCTACCAGTACCAAATGTATCTCACTGCCCATCTCTTTTGTGTTTCACTTTGCATGTGAACCACGTCAGAACGTTTCCTGACTTCAGCCCCTCATGCAAAGTTCGCTACCGAATTACCCTGACTTGCCATGTTCGCTGCAAACGGCGACGCCAAGGGCACTGCCGATGCTGCCACCGGTGCGCCGAAGGGCGACGTCAGCGGTGCGCCCGACAGGCCTGGTGCTGCACTGGGTGCGCCGGGTGCAGGCGCGCTGAAGGGATTGGCGAGCGGCGGAGCGCTCTGAACACTTTGAATTGGCCGTGGAGCACTGACGGCACCAAGGCCTTGTGGCGCATAGACAGGATGAGCTAAGGCAGACGATTGCAAATCACATGCACCATGCATGGAAGCAGTGACTGGCCCAGCTGAGGGAGGCGGTGGTGGCAAGGCAGTACCTCAGCAAGATATAGCAAGATCACATGCCATCATGATGGAAGCAATACATAAAGTAGATTGGATTGGAGGGGATTCTATGAGTCCTATTCGCGTTCTTGGCCCTGGATGAGCCTGCTGCTAGTTACTTCAGATGGGGCCAAATTGACAATGGACGCCAGCAGGGTGATATCACGGTCATCCTGACATTCACTGGAAGTGCTCCTGTTTGGCCAAACGGTTCACTTTTTGCCTCTCAGAATGGCTTGAATTGAAACCTTTGGAGGGCAGGTTGGCATCCCATCTATGGCGGTTATGTTCATATACAGTACATTTTGAAGGGAAACAATACAACTCCCAGCAGTGCCGCAGCTCAGATTGCACCCAGTTGCCGGCACCCCAGTCACCTCTGCTGGCATCGCAGGCAGTGGTTGCAGGTGCGTGGTAAGCCGAACTCAAGCCACGACTCGTGTGGAAACGCAAGGCCTCCGCTTCACGGCGTTCCTCTTCGGTCTCCTTAGGTGCGTTGAGTCAACGCATCCCGGATCTGCAAAAAAGTTCAAGGGTTCACTGTTTTTAGCTGTTTTACAGAGGCTGGATATGGCTTCCTTCATCCACTCTGAGCTTGGCAGACCATCCAAAGTATGTCCCACACATGGCAGCATTGCAGACATGTCTCCCCTCCATGGAGTTTCCAAACCTTTTCTGTCTGATCGAAGTAGAATCGGTTCCTGTAGCACGGGGCAGTGGGTGCATCTATAGGTCCAGGAACTATGATGATTCTTGTACATTCAGATCTACTATAGTTGTGTAATTGTGTACGTCCATGGATCAGTATTCCGGAATCTTGGCCGCCAAACACTTTTGGAATGTGCAAACTGTAGTAACTTTAGTATCAATCAAGCTACGTGAAGTACCCTCCCCGCAGGGGATTTATCTTTTGAGAAACCCATCAGAGAGCACGCCACTTGGCAATCGCCCAAAGATAATTTAAGGTGAAAGACATTGAAAATCATTGAAACACCTAAAGAATCTTAAAGAACTGAGGCAACAAATGCAACAACACCACCATAGCAGTCGAGCTGCTCTACGCCGACCTCTCGATGATTTTTTGGCGCAATGGCCTTCAGGGCACAGAATATCACAGAAGTGGGACAGGATCAGCCAAGCCAAAGAAAAATCAGTTGAAGCTCGAGCGATATAACACAGAAGTTTACATGTTTTAAATGTCATAATTATTCATATAATTCATCATGTTCTATCCTCACAACATCACTGGGATTTCAGGTACATCTTGGACTTTCAAAGAACCAACATCAACAGACATCCACAAACAGAAGTTAATCATAGTCAATGAATCAAACCTAACAAGCCACACCTCGAAGAGTGTCTTCAGCTTCTCCAACAGCACGTGGATCACGTGCTGCACCACATTCTCCTCCTTTTCGGTACGGCCTGTGACACCAGTGGTGCCCGGCGCGGGCAAACCCGTGACGCCAGACTCAGGGTCCATGCCGCGTGGGAGGTCCAAGCTGCCCTTGAGCCACACACTTGAGGAAACACCAAGAGTGTATTTGCAGCTTTCGTTCACCAAGGAATCCTAAATGAACCGACTGGAAGACTAGCCGTGGGGAATGTTCGACAATTTTTTGGGAGCGATGTCTCAACAAGATTTCAAGTCTCAAAATCTGAGGAAAATATTGGCCTTCCTCTCTTCGTCTTCACATGTGACAAGGATCGACGAGGTCACTCTTCAATAAAATGCTAAAAAATTGCGGCGTTCACGGCGCCTGGACCCAGGTTGCCCTTGGATACACCAGGCATGCTCCTGCCGTGTTTCAGGGGAATGCGTGGGCTGGGGTGGATGAACTCAGCTGAATCCCCACACTATCGGCTTGACGGCTCCCACATCCACTGCCCGTTGCTCCTCTGGATTTCCGAGGACGGTGGTGGGACCGCGCACATCCACCAACTGGCAAATCAGGGCAGAATCATCCTTGCCTATGGACGTAGACGTAAACTTTTCACTAAGTGTCACTATGGTCTCCCAGGACAGCAACGGACTTGTATGTCTGCACAAAATTGCAGCTGTTTGCTGCGTTCAGAAGGTGTTTCAGTACTCATGCCCTTCAACATTGCAGAAAACCCGACCCCGGTTTTCGCCGTAATGATTCTTTCAGGCAATTTGCTTGAAATCCTGACCCTTTTTTTGGGATCTGAGCAGCAATCTCATATCTGGGAGCTCGCGAAAATGGGTGTCCGATCGCTCTCAAAGGTGACTCAGTCCATGTATGGCAATGACCAGTCGTATTCTCACAAGCTTCCCAACAATCGCGAGAATACCAATTGCTGTTTCCTTGGGTCGCTGTACAAGCACAACATTCATGAAGGGGCCGTTGCCATGTCATGTGCACCTTAGAGAATCTGTACAGAGCAAGCTATGCGCAGCGCGCAGCGTCATCAGGTTCAAAGAGACAGCACTTCCGCAGGCGGATTGCGGTAGGGAGTAGCGACGGCCTGCACAACAGTCATGGGCAATTTACTCTGGATCGGATATCTTCCCCCATGTTTCCAACGTTGCTTGCATGACATTTCTACATATTCCATCATATTCCTACTATGTCTAGTGAGTGGCACTGTAACTATTCCAAAGTCTAAGCAGGAATGATGATTAGGGATGATGATGATGATGATGTGTGAATATAATGCACCATCTGGGACAGAGGTGCATGTTAACAATCGTGTCAGCGCTTCAGATCCAAAATCTCAGCCGCTTAGGCTTAAATTCATGAAGCATATGCCGTTTGGTGCTCAACACCAATTGAAATGATTTTCTTGATCAAAAACGCCAAAGCACAGTTGATTTTTGGTGCAGAACACACGAAATTTTCTCCTGAGAAAGAGTATTGATTTTTGGACAGTGATAAGCCAAGTTTTGCACAATTCCTGCCGGAATTGTGAATCCAAAGGTGCAGTGCAAAGAGTGAGGATCTCATTCCATAGAGATTTAGTTTGATAATGTCTGTGCATCTTTGATGCATCCGTCGGTAGACATAAACTTAGTGCAGCAGATGTCACGAGAGCTTGAACTAAATTTCTTGGGAGTGCGTGCTCCACTGCGACAGTCAGAAATATTTTCAGATGGGAAAGCTGCTCACAACTGAGAACAGTTGTGGAAAATGTGAGAGAAACCGATTCCAACACTCTAGACTTTATGCCATTTGCTTGTCTTCAGAAGCCATCGGCAACCACATGTAACTACAAGCATCCGAGCATTGACCTATAGTGCTTAGCGCAGTGCGATTTATTTGGATTGTGCCCGTGCACTCAGTTCAGAGAGTCTCGCAGTTGTGATCTCGGATTTAATTTGCGAAGCCATAATCAGTTGCACATATTTCTCCTTTTTTTTGGTTTTGTGCAATCTTCACATTTGGTGGAACCAAATGTTTGCTTGAATGTTCTGAACTGCAGAAAGAGCCACTTGAGAAGTGGTGGAAACGTAGTGATAGCAGGAAAGTAGACAAGCCAAGTGTCTGAGCGAATGACCATCTCAGCCAAGAACAGTGAGACATAGTTTCAGAATTTGTCACTTAGATCCACTTTAAATTTGGACTGATTTGCAAATTTCGTTCACTGCTGTTCACTCATTGTTTTGCATGTGACACAGAAGAAATTGCTTGACACCAACTTTTGCACCATAGAAGGTGCTAATTAGGTCAACGTTTGGGTCGACAAGAATTTCCAAGTGAGTAGGCTGTGAGAGAACAGAACTGAAGGACTTGGATCTAACCCAAACTGATGCAAAGAAAACAGTTTTTCATCCTGCCAAAGGCTGGATGTGCTGTCCATGGAATAATGAATTCCATCCCGGAATCTGGCTCAAGGGCCACACCGCGATTATGGAAAAGATCAGAACAGAGATTTCACTGGGAGTGACATCATAAGAACTCACATTTTAAGATCTTGAAAGGTATCTGGTTGACAACCTACTGTTTATCCCCTGGGGCTGTTAAATTCCGCATGGTAGCGGAGCACGTGGTGCTCAGAAAGTAGTTGATCCAGTTTTCAGTTGGGACAACGCCCCCAATAGGGACAACATAGAATTACAACCAGTTTTTCCGGTGTGCAGCCATGGCCTCTGGAAGGGAGCGGTCTCGTGAACTTGATGACCGTGGGAGATCGCGTCAAAGGATCGAAAGTGGTCGCCCAATGATGGTCTCTGAGCGTCACAGATCGTTGCCTGTTCCGTCCCTTGGATCCATGCAGCCAGATGCCAAAACTCTTGCGCTTGAGAAGCAGGTTCATGAACTCCAAGCGAACTTAGTGAATATGGGAAAGAATCTGGAGACTGTGGTTGAGCAGATGAAGGGACAACAGTCAGCCCTTCTTGCTGCCAGCAAAGCGTTTCAAAGTCAACAGGTTCAATTGAATTCCTTGCAAAGTGCTGCGCAGAATGCAGCAGCACAAATCCCTGCAGGTAGCAACACGCCTGTTGATCCGACTTCGCACGCCACAGATTCCAGGAAGATCGAGAGTTTGTCCAGCCCATTCTCTTCGCCTCTTGGCGGAGGACTTGGTTTTGGTGACTTGTCGAGTGCCCCAACAGCCACTAATCCAGCTGTGCGCATTCCAGGTGTGGAGAGCAGTCAGGCCCGGGTCATGGATCAAGCTGGCTCGGAGACAGTGGGAGCTTCGGTCGGACTTGATGCATTGGCCAAGTCAGATCGATGGCTGCCCGCCATGCCTTCAGTGGATTCATCGAAATGGCGCACACGCTTGGATGAAATTTTGGGCATCGAATCATTTGTAGAAAACCTAGTAAGTTGGGTTGGCCTGATCAATCATGAATTTGCCCATGAAATTCGTTTTTCAGCCAGTTGTCTTGATGCGATTCCCAACCACCAGCTGAGCACAGCGCAGCTTGCACGTGGAGCCCGTCTACTTGGTATGTTGCGGCAGATTTTTGGTCAGACGGCCAAAGCAAGAATAATTCTGTTGGCATATCAGGAAAAGCCCGGACCAAAGAATGGCTTCGAAGCACTTCGGCTTATCGTGGCAGAGTACATGCTGAAATCAAGACAGGAAATTTTGCATTTTCGTAGTGCTTTAGTGAATCGTACTTTCAAAGCAGCCAGCATCACTGAGCTGATCCAAAATCTTGACTATGAAGAGAGCCGTTATCAGAAATTGCTCGCAATGTTGCCTACTCATTTGAGTCGGGATGGACTGTTGATTCAATCCTCGGACTTTAGCATGATCCTCTTTCGTAGCCTAACTGGTTCAGCTCGTGACTATGTGATGCTTCATTCCAAAACCGATGAGTATGTAGACTTGAAAGCCGCAGCTTTGAGGTATGAATCCAGTTCCAGAATTTGGACAGAGATTTCTGGAAACACCAATTCGCACTACATGCACAGTGCTTTGGATGGTGGGAAAAAGGGAAAAGGAAAAGGGAAAGGCAAGAAGGGAAAGGAGAACTCAAGCAGCAGGAGCGGTTCAGCAGGAAAGGACGAGAATGAGAAAGAAAAGAATGATACTTGCTTCCGTTGTGGTCGCAAAGGTCATTACAAGACAAATTGTCATGCCAAGAAAGATTCCAATGGGAAGTTGCTGGACATGAGTACTGCTGCCAAGAATAGCAAGAGATCAGATTCCAAGGAGAAAAAGGGGCCAGAGAACAACAGTGGTGGAAAGGGCAAAGGCAGTGGTCAGGGAAAGAAAGGTACCGGAAAAGGCAAGATCAATGAACTTGTGGAGCAGCACAAGGAAGGCGAGAATCCGCCTGAAGGTGATGGGACTGGATCCAGTTCTACGGACCATCAGCCACCAATGAAGTCTTTCATTGGCCAGTGGTACCAACAGAAGGTGTTGAACTTTGAAAAGTCCCTTGACCATTTGCAGAAGCAGAGCAAGAATGTCTCGTTTGACTCTGACACTTTGTCGGCATGCAGCGTTGAGCATTGTTGTTGCAGCGTTTTTCCTTCATGTGCTGATCAAAGTTTTCCTGACTCAGAGTTTTCAAGCCACTTGCAAACAGACAATCTGTTTTTCATGCCTTTTTTATGCCCAATGAGTAATTCCAATGAAACAAGATGTTTGCAGCAAGCCTCGGATGTCAGAGTAATTGAACTTGGTCGCGAGTCAGCTGCGCAAGAGTCTTCAATTTCTCGGTATCCCCGTTTGCGGGGTAAACAGCCCGGACCAGCCTTTCTGCAAGATCCCACTGCCCAGTTGGCGGATGGGGCAGAGCCGGAAGGGGGTGAGTACTCTCCTTCCATCTTGGGAAAGGACGATGTGCCAGGAGCTGAGAATAGTCATGTTGATTTCCAGCCTGATGTTGACATGGTAGCAGATCAGGATGATGTTGAAATTGATTTGGTAGATTTTGCAGAGGCATCCAATGGGAATCAAGATGACGCCATGCTTGTTGATCAGGTGACTCGTTTTGATGAATATGAATTGGAAAGCATCGAGAACAGACACGTGGGTTTCATGCAGAGTGTTTATCAGGTGAAAGGTAGTAAACCACGCCGTGAGAAAGCAGATCTGTGCGGAACACCCATCTATGTAGTTTTCCCTGGATATGTGATTTCTGATGCAACTGGCCAGTATCTTGACAACGAACTTGCTTTCAAAGGTATGTTTACTGAAGTCACCTCGATGACTTCGCAACACGTTGGGAAGCCAATTCCAGAGTCAGAAGCCAAAGTTCTTGCCAAGAAATGGGGAGTTCCAATTATCAGTTGTCGTTGGGTGTGTGTTCAGAAGGACGACACAAATGTGCGAATGAGGCTGGTAGCCCGAGAAGTGGCTAAAGGTCAGGCATCCGCCAGAGACTTAATGGTCAGTTCCCCAACCAGTTCCATCGAATCACTTAGAATCATGCTTGCAACCGCCGGAGCAGATGATTTATATGTAATGGGTATAGACGTGAGTGCTGCGTTTATGGCATCACCCCTTGGAATGAAGCTT